TCCATCAAACCGTGAACCTTCAGTCCCTCCCACCTTCCAAGGTACCCCAGTACCAAACTAATTGCAACCAAATAACCTTGTCAGCTTGTCCAACTACGGCTGAGGTTAGTCCCTTAGCAGTTTAGCTCCGGGCTACAAACGCAAAGACCAGCTGCAGCCCCCTTGATGCTGTGGAATAATTGATTACTGAACAAATTGACGGTCAGTACCCGAATACATCCTCCATCCCATACCATCCCATCCCATCAATCAAAAGGCTTGTGAAACGATTCCGATTTGGCCATTGGAAATCCGATACTCAAGCAACCGCATATCATATCCAATCTGGAAATTGGTATCCTTGTAACGTTCGCGAACGCGCACCGCACTACTGCCTACCTACCTAGCTAGTTGAAGCTGCAAGCCCCATTGAATGGTTCAGTCACGACTCACGAGTGACGAGTTCGCCTTGTCGATAAACCCCCTGAGCTTGAGGTTCTCAATACATAGTATGCCTATGAGACTATCGACCTAAAAGGGGAATTATGCAAGGCATACTCTAAAAATGCCGTCAGTCGTCAACAACGACGAGTGGGATCTTCCGCGTCCAAGAGCCAACATTAGTTTCGAGGTAAGATAAGACTATCTCAAGTTTGTTATTGTGTGGTCTTGAAACGACTCAAGCTAAGCATGAATTGGTCTTCGTCTCACAGGATGATATTCGGAACTCAACATCAGATGATGAAGACACAGGTAAGACGTTTGGGAATTAGCTCCGGAATATCTCTAAACACCTATTCAAGAATTTTTCGATGTAAAATTTTACCCGTATGGAGAAGACGCCCACGATCCAGTATTCGCCGCCGTTAGTAAGAAGCATGTTTTAATATATCGACTTTCATCCGCTTCCACCCCTCCCTACGAGTTGATCCAGCTCTTCAGAGATGATGACGTAAGTCTTGATTGTCACATCCAAGTAGATGCTCCAGCTTACAACTGGCGTGATATAGGAAGATGCATTGAATTGCAGCTGCACTTGGACAAAAGACCCGGAGACCGAAGTCCCCTATTTATGCGTGGCTGGAAATGATGCCAAAATCAAGGTCTACGATGTTTTCCAGGGGAACTTGGTAAAGGTCAACATACAGTTCTATACCCGGCCACCTATAGCAATCTCAACTAACACTTTATACAGGTCCTCGTCGGCCATGGAGGAGTGAGTTTAGAAGCAGATTGTCTAGGTCATTATACTAACCAGCTGTGGAGGAAATCAATGACCTCGCCACATGTCCTACAAATTTTCTCTTGATTGCTTCCGCTTCAGAAGATACTACAGTTCGAATATGGAGTCTCGATCCTGCGCACTCTAATCAGCCTTGTGTTTGCTTGCTTGCTGGAGAAGGTCATTCGTCAGGGTTGTTAACAGTCGTATGTCGTCTCAGCAAGGGTTACTTGCAGATTTTCTTACTGACTTGTTCCCAGGCATTCCACAATACTGGACGATATGTCCTCTCCGCTGGCCATGATAACGTGATTTGCTTGGTATGAGTCCGACATCCATCCAGCTCAGGAAATATCATGTGTAGAGTGTTAATGTATCAACAGTGGACACTTCCCAAATTACCTCCTGCATCCACCGGCAAGAATCCCCCTAAGCCTATCGTAATCCACTATCCTCATTTCTTCACCTCAGAGGTTCACAGTGGTATCGTGGATTGGTAGGCCACCCTTCCTTCATACAGAGTCGATCAGGTCCATACTGACAAGGGTTGCAGCGTGGCCTTTCTTGGTGATCTAATCCTTTCACGAGCGTGCCACGAAGATATTATAGTGTTGTGGCGCATCGAGGGATTTTCATCTAGCGATCGGCCCCCCTTGATTTCAGAGGCGCCTACCACAAGTGACACAGAACGTTTAACGCGTTCTTCCTTCGCCCCTGCGACGGCGTCGGCATTCCCGCCTCAATACACTCGCCTACTGGAATTCTATACACCAGATTGTGGTCATCAGTTTTACCTCCGATTCAAACTTTTTCACAATAAGAACAAACATCCTGTTCTGGCCTTCGGTAATGCTGGGGCAGTAATATTCTTCTGGGATCTCGCGCGCCTGGGTAGCTATCATAACTTCATAAAGGAAGTTCGAAATCCGGCCCGCGATAAGTCCCAGCCAATCCATCGTCCGGGATGGTTGCTACCGCCGGCTCAACGTAAGACTAAGGGTGATGCTATCAGCAAGCTAAAGGATGCCGCCAGTGATAGGGAATCAGTAGTATCAGGGCGGACTGGCAGTGTTGACGTTGAGTCGCATCTAGACATGACCGCCAACTACTCGCCGGAGACGATAGATGCTTGGGAAATGCAATACGACATGAGGGAAGCGAATGAGCCCATCAGAGCCCATTCTCGAAGCAACATCTCCGTCAAGGGCTTCATCGGACGCCAGGTGGCTTGGAGCGCCGGGGGTGAGTGGTGCGTTGTCGTAGGCAGTAAGAATCTTGCCATCGTCTTGCAACGTTGGTATAAGAAGGATCGCGCAGATGAAAAAGAGAAGAAGGTAAGCCAGGAGTGTCAGAACTAAGGGGCCGGCAAGCCTACGCATAATACTTGATCATTTAGGACTCAGCTCTCACTGGCGATCTCAACCGAGCTCTAACATACAGGCTAATGCTTCACGTCAAAAGACTATGTAGATTAATGTAAATCTGACAAAGATAAAGAGGAACTTTTCACATTCTAAATTGATTTCCTTTCGTGGCTAACTTGAAGGAGTGTTATTTGGTTGCCAACTAATATGTATACCCCCTATTAAATCCTCCCCCATCGTGCCTCCTCGTCATCTTAATACCCCACACCCTAGAAACTCATTTTATCAACCAGGCGAAACATATTCATTCTTGCGTCAATCTTTCTTCGGTTGCCGAGTTGGCCTCTAGTTGATGCAGTAGGGCAAGTTGTTGATGTACTCGCACCAAGCGTCAGGTGCGCAGTCTCCGCCATCCTATGAACCGTTAGTATCTAAACCGAGAAGCAATACATGGTCTTTTACTTACGATGTAGAATCCATCGACGTTGCAGACGAGCCAGCCCGAGAAGTCGGGCTTGCAGGCGTAGGCAGGGGGCGAGCAGACCAAGGCTTGTCCCTCTACCTCGTACGCGGCGGTGGCAATGGCGGCGGAGATGAGTGCGGTGATTGCGAAACACTTCATTTTGGCGTTTGTTGGTTTGGTGAGTAGTAAGAAGTAGATAGTATAGAGATGTGAGATATTTGGTTATTGGTGTTGGTGTTGGTGTGGATGCTGACTTGATGCTCTTGTCGATGAGAAGGAAAATGTCTCTTCGACGACCCCTTTCTTATACGGCAGGATCGTCCTACGAACGGACTCTGATGACTACTTGTTACGAAGCAGGCTTAGAACACAGTTTAGCTTCTATTGTTCTTGGGGTTTGCCGTAGTAGTATACAACGACGTAATCCATCTACGGAACTGTCATCTTCGAGAGAACTATCTAGACGATTTGGACTTGTGATTAGGCCACCGGGATGTACGAAACTCTTTCCATAACAGTAACTAAGGAACGAGGAACCTGTTTTTTACCGCTTGATACGGCAAAATTTGGTGCATACGATAGGACCCGACTTGGAACGAATTTGAAATCCTAGTTAGTGAGTCGTAAAGAGATGAACAGATCATGGTCGAACTAATAGGTGAAACATCTTCCCTCTAACTAGATAACACATTAGTCTCGGAGAAGATGGCGTGGTTACGTTCTACTTGTTATGACGTTGGAGTTGTCTCTACGTCAGATCCGGACAGGCAAATGATCCTCACCTAGCGGCGTCGAGTTCAATACCGCATGCTCCGGAATAGTTACCCCGTGATTTCCGCGAGAAACTTATCGGAGCCCCGGGACTGGGTCTAAGCGCACCGGGACTCAGCGAAGGAGTTGTTAAGCATGTTTTGGTCATGAACTGGGGAATACCGTTGACTATGACTGGCTACGAGAATGAAGGCTATTCAGGTCATGGATATATGATCCAGTGAGTTAGCTTTCCCGTAGCTACTTAGTATGCGGTCAGACACTTTCAGGTACTGAAGTGTGCACGTTCGTTTTGACAGTTGGTTTAACTTCATTTAGCGCACGATGACATCTCCGTCCCCGTTCTGTCCCTCCGACAGGCTTTTTCTCGGGTTCCTACAACTCGTAGTAGCTACCTAGGTATGTTAACCAAACACGTGGCGGGGGAAGATTTACCTATTATTGATCCTTATGGACTTGGATCTAGGGTTCAAGAGGCGCAACTATAGTAGATGGCGTAGAGTAGAGGAGGAGGTTCTCAGAGTGATATCATATGATCGATTCAGTATTCGCAGAAATAAGAGGTAACATTTTACATGAAATAGAATTCTCCATCAATCAGCGCTATCTCACGGGGAAACCAACTGTGACGACGAGGGGCGTTGTTGCTGTTGTTGATGCTGCACTTATTAAGGTCGCGCGTTCTCTTTAACATATTGAAGATGGGGAGGAGCCTTTCCCGGAGGCCCGGACCTACCTCCCAGCGACATAGATATTTGATCGAATATCGGGTTGCGTGGAAGGAAGGAAAGAACTACGATTAAGCTTAATGACATTGCTTGCTCGAACGCCTGAAAATTCACTTCCTACTTCATACATATATTTCTAGGACCAGCCATTGTGATATCGACCTTGCACCCAACGAGGTGCAAGAACTAACTATTGGGCGCATCGCCGTATTTTCGCATTATTATTGTGGTAGCAGGATCCGAAGCGGTCCAACTTAACTCATCCAAAGATGCCTCTAGTCGCGGAGAATCCTCCTTCAGCTAGGTCCTCCTGGTTGAAATATGGACTTCTTAATAACTGGTGCACAGGTGCAGAGTCGAAGATCCCAAAACATGATCCCCTGTCACACACAAACAAAGACTATAGGCTGTAAAAATTCCCGCACTTCAACATCCGAACCACGAATTTGGAATAAAACGCCCTAAGGGGCCACGGGCTTGTGGTTTAGTGGTATAATACTCGCTTAGCATATTGTCTTAACAGGTTCGTCCTTAGAAAGATAAGCATGTGAGTGGTCCGGGGTTCGATTCCCCGCGAGTCCATCAACTGGAGGCTAGATTCCTTCTGTACCGTTTTTTATAAGTTTTATATTTCTCAGCTTTTTTTAAAAATTATTTTTTTCGACTGCGCTCGGGCTCCAGGCAAGACATAGTCACCAAGTTACCTTTTACTACCACAGTCACACTTATTAGCCTTGATGGCATCGAACACACAACACATGTTAGATTCGACAGCTCCATAACTCAGTCGATGTAAATTGTCCTTGTTTCTTTTATAAAAACACGGTACTTCCATAGGAGGTGCTGATTGTGCAAGGCGCGAGGAGCTACTGATAAATATGTCCCGAACGATGAACTGTTGCATTAGGTGCGCCCAGTGAGCAGGTGTATTGTTGGCGGTGGCCTCGTTCCACGATTTTGACAACTTAAAGGAGATTAGTAGTAGTCAGACAGGCAGACAGACAGGCTAACTCATTTTTAGTTCCTCGCTGCATAAATCTCTAGGTACACGTCGATGCTGTAGCCTCGATGAGCGTACTAAGAAGGGTGACGCGTGCCAAGAGCGAACGCCCCGAATCGTCTGGAATTAATTCATGGCTGAGCTGCACCGGAACCATTCAGCATATGAAGGGCGATAAAAATAGGATCATCAAGAAATCATTACAAGCGACGCCGATTAAAAAGAGTCGCGCGGCAAAGACACAGTAAGGCGTCTAAAAGACGGGAATAGGAAGCTCACAATATTGTCTTGTTTCAAGTTTCGAGCGTCTCAAGCCCCGCGAAATGCGCCATGAAGTAATAACCAATCAGACCCCGCATTCCAGATCATTGGCAGACTGGTAGGGACCCCTGAAAATCCATCTGGCTATCTGGATCTTACTTGACGACATGCCCTTCCCAAAATGGCTCTAGAAAAGCTCTTTCGCAGATCATCGAAGCTGCCTTTCCTGGCTGACGGATCGCGGAGAATCGCGGTAACGGATGCCAAGCTTAAGTCTAGACCCTTCCTCTCTACCTAGGGATGGAAGAGTGGAAAGATCGCTTGATACCTCCTGAACGACCATGTTGTTGGCAGATGCTGATGGGGCACAGCATGTTTCTTATGACGAACACCAATAAACACGACACAGTATACCAATCTTTCTGTGAATGTGGACCACTTTCCCGTGACTCCTTCAACACCTGAATAAAATCCTCGTTGTCCCCTGTTTGGTAACTTTCAGCTTTTAGAATGGGTTCTCATCGTCGAGGTTATCCAAGTCACTGGCCATCCTTTCTCTACTGTTTCTTCTTATTCAACAAGCGTTGACTGTTCTTTCACTTTTGTTTTATCCCACACTCACTGCTTTCCTAGCTCACTTCGGTCTGGACCATCGTTTGAAGAGTCAACTGTTTTTCATCTGTTGATTTTCGTCATTCATTCTTCAACCTAAAAAAAGGCATCACTTGGTTCACTCATTTCCCTGCGACAACCTGTGATTACACATTACATTCGCTTCTTTTGTGTCCTGAGCACATTCACTATTACTACATTACACCTGGTGTTTTTTTTGGCCCTTAAAAAAATTAAAGTACTACAAATCAATCGAGAGTACCATTCGAATTCGCAATTTCCTGAATTTTTTTTATACAACTTGAGGCCGCGGCGCGATACGGCTTCTCCTCGACCACCGAAACCATGTACATGAAATCCGTCCACGCTGCCGCTCTGGCAGCGGCATTCGTACCACCGAAGGATATCAATATCGATGACTCAAGTAGGTATTCCTACATAACACGAGCATTTGAGCTACGCTAACCTACGGGCAGCATCTATTCGCAGTGTGGCCAGCACGCTGGCCTACGACCTCATGAGCTGGTACAGTGGAAATGTGACCAATACCCTGGAAGTATGTAATATCAAGAGATTAATCTACTTGGATCCAAGCTGAACATATTACCTTAGACTATTGCTGTTTTTCCCGAACCATATTGTAAGTCCTGCTAACTCCCCCATATATCTAAGTGCATGAACTGATGCCAAGATTTTAGACTGGTGGGAAGCTGGTGCAGCATGGGGAGCTATGCTCGATTATTCCCATTATACGGGTGATTCCAGCTACGATGATGTTATCTCGCAGGCCTTACTATCGCAAGTCGGTCCGAAATTCGACTTCATGGCGCCTTTACATTATGGCTCGGAAGGGAATGACGACCAGGCCTTCTGGTCTTTCGCAGTGCTCGAAGCTGCCGAACGGAACTTCCCCCAACCCAACGATAGTATTCCTCCTTGGCTTGATATCGCGACCAACATCTGGAACACGATGGTCGTGAGATGGAACGAATCCTACTGTGGAGGTGGGCTCGCATGGCAGATCTTCGAGTCCAACCCCAACGGCATGTCCTACAAGAACAGCGTTTCCAACGGCGGGTTCTTCCAGTTGTCGGCACGCCTTGCACGAGCAACTGGTAACGACACGTATCTCCAATGGGCGGAGAAGGTGTGGGATTGGTCTGAGAAGATTGGCTTCGTGGACGAGAATTACAACGTCTATGACGGAGTCGATAGTAAGAACTGCTCCGATGTCAATCATCTGTCGTTCTCGTATTCGCAGGGAATCTATCTGTACGGTGCCGCGGTGCTTTACAACCACACAAACGGAGACAGATCGTGGGGAGATCGCACCACTGGATTACTAAAGGCGGCAGATTCCTACTTTAGCCCTTACGAAAACGCAACCAACATCATGTTTGAGCATGCTTGCGAGCCATACGAAGTCTGTAACAATGACATGAAGTCCTTCAAGGGCTACCTTTCTCGGTTCATGTGGGCGACGACGCGGATGATGCCTTCGACACTTGCCCGCGTCCAGACACTCTTGAATACATCTGCCGTGGCAGCAGCCAAGTCATGCTCCGGAGGGGAGAACGGAACTGTGTGTGGACAGAAGTGGTATGTCGGCGGTTTCGACGGCGTGACTGGCTTGGGTCAACAAATGACGGCGCTGGAGACTGTCCAGGGACTTCTTGCTCAGGAAGCATCGCCGCCTTTCAAAGCTGGCGAGATCAAGCATGTCAAGGGTGCGAACACCTCAGTAGCAGCGACGCCGACGCCGAGCGTGACTAGTAGGTCGCCGGAGACTACAACAAGTCAACCTTCGACTGCATCTACATCTACGCCTGAGCGATCGGGCTCGGCTAGAAACGTCTTTGTTAATTGGCAATGGGCTCTTTTGGCCTTTGGCACTGTCTCAATTCTGGGACTAGCATAACGGATTGATTCCGGATATAGAGAAAAAAGGATACTGGCATAGCAAATTGGCGTTTGGGTTTTGGTCTTGACTACTGGCAACTTTGATTTCTGAAGATACCATTTTGCGTCCGGGACGAATTCTTTGAAGCCCTCCTGTCATAGGAAATGAATTATTATGGATAAATTTGTATCATCGCGCCAACGGCGGACGATAGGCACTCGGTGAACAAGTTCCCTTTAGTGACCCCCTATAATAAATTCGCACAATATGGGCATGGAGTCCTTTGACGCTCTATAATATTAGCGTGTAAGCCCCCTAAGCTATAGGCAGTCGTGCGCTATCCCTCGCTACCTATCCCTGTGACAATTCGTTGACAGTATAGTGAGCTGTGACTAAAGTGTATGATACGCTGTAATGATATTAACAAATGCATTGAGAGCCTTCATCTTGCTGGCTAAGATATTAGGTACTTTACATGTCTTAATAAATTTCAAAAATGCCGGGTTATCTGGTTTATTCGTTTGGTCTATATCGAGAACAACTTCGAATTAAACGATCCATATCTGTGGAAGTTATTCCGTTAGGTACCTAGACTGCTAGATAGAGCTATGCATCTATCCCATAATTGACCCCACCTTATGACTCAATTGAGATTTTATTTTCAAGGCGCTCCGATCGGCGATATGACGATGCTAACAAATATAGCTGTATATTCAACCTTTGGATTCGATCATTGACTCACTTATTGTTGAAGACCCGGAGCTTATAACTATTTAAAGGGGAGAGAGTATCTGTCGACATAGTTTAGGAAATACCGTCTGTGGAAGATAGCAACTTGGGAGCTGCCGGGTATCGTTCGGGTTCATCATGTCGCCTTTCAACCTCGAAACATGTGCAAGGGCCAATATCTTGGCCTTGGAACCATATCGCTGTGCAAGAGAGTGAGACTCATGCCATAAACCTATAAACTTACATGATGACTTTCGAATACTTATCTATGTTATAGTGACTACAAAGACGACGGTACAAATATTCTCCTGGATGCAAACGAGAACGCTTGCGGCCCCCCATTATCAGCGGCCACAGTATCAGCTGTGTCCAATGGTTCAGGGGCCGAGATAGATTTTCTAGGCCTGCACAGGTACCCTGACCCCCACCAACGGGACTTGAAGCAGCTGCTCTGCAACTTGCGCAACACCCACCACCACACGGACAAGACTGTCGACGCGGACAACTTGTTCGTCGGTGTTGGTAGCGATGAAGCTATCGACGCGTTACTACGATGCTTCTGCGTACCTGGCAAGGACCGAATCTTGGTATGTCCGCCAACCTACGGCATGTACTCGGTATCCGCGCAAGTCAACGATGTAGGACTAGTCAAAGTGCCTTTACTACCCGCGCCAGGATTTGGCCTCGACGTGTCCAATGTCAAGGAGGCTTTATCAAACGAACAGCACATTAAACTAGTCTACTTATGCTCCCCCGGCAATCCCACTGGTTCTGTGCTAGCCAAGGAGGATATACGACAAGTCCTAGAGCACCCGACCTGGAATGGCGTGGTGGTGGTGGATGAGGCATATGTGGACTTCGCGCCCGACGGTTCATCGCTGGCGGAATGGGTGGCCGAGTGGCCCAACCTGGTCGTCATGCAGACGCTCTCCAAGGCCTTCGGCATGGCGGGGATCCGGCTGGGCGCAGCCTTCACATCCCCGCCCATCGCCCGGCTGCTCAACAGTCTCAAGGCCCCGTATAACATCTCCAGCCCGACTAGCGCGTTGGCGTCGTATGTCGTCTCCGAGGAAGGTCTGG